TTCCTTCTAAATTGTTTGAGATAACCTTCTCTCATTTTGTGACTCATCTCCAAGCCCCCCTCTCAAATCTTTTTGGAGAGAAATTAAATATAAGCATAAAAAAGAGGCTTGTAAAGTAAATGGGCAGAGGTCTGAAGCTCCGGCTGTGCTTTGGGTTTCGGCAGCCGTCTGCTGTGTCTACGGTTTGCTTATGTCTCTGGGCAGAGGGTAAGAACTCAAAGAATAAGCAGAGCAGAACCTGTCATGAGACCTTTCAAATTCTTTATTCCTCCTTATTTCACTACTGTCCATCTTCCTTCCTTCCTTTATCCCTCTTTGTATTCACTGATATTTATACTTATATAAACATGTCTAAATAAATGGGAAGGCATGGTCTTACACATAAGGACACAAACACCATCATTTGAGGCTCACAATCTTGCTCTAATTTTAACGGTTAAGACAAATGAACAACTAATTCATCAAAGACAGAATGTGATAAACTTCACCGGAAAGATGAAAAATGTTATGGAGGTTTATAGAAGAAATCTGAGTAGTCATATATCTGAAATTTACATAAACTGATTTTGAAGCTTAAAAGACTAAGTTAATTCTCTATGAACAGTTTTTACACCTGCATGAAAAAAGTTTTCATAATATTAGAGGGTATGAAGGAACCACAGCTTTCCTTATTTAACGTTGACATAATATTTGCCATGGAAAATTCTCAGGAAACTGTGGTTTTCGCACACCTCCAGTTTCTTCCATTTCAAATAAATTAAGTAAAAAGGGGGAAAACACCTCATCTTTTTATGGAAAAATTTTATTTTGGCATATGGGTATTTTTTATGAACACAAGCATTTGGTGTTCAATTCTGAAAAGAATTTTGAGAATGTACATGTGAATACAAACAACAGTCTAAAAATGAAAAAGCTCTCTTACATGCAATGTTCCTTCCTGTGAAAAGCTGCCTACAGCAAACTGACTCTGAGTGACCTGGTAGAGGCAGAATGATGGTAGCAACAGTCTCAATATTTAGACTTAATTTCAATTCTAGGTTTTACCTAAAGATATATTAATGTGTGCATTTATTAAAAACATGTAGGGAGGTAATAAGAAACAGTCCATTCAGTGGGATCAGAAGAATTGTGACAACCTAAGGCTTAGAGTCCACACTGAAGGCAAGGGGAGACGTTTCTGCATCTGTTGAGCTCTTATAATCCCTGAGACACAATGATTCTAAAATGGAGTCTTTAAAATAGGGGACCCAGGGGCACCTGGGTGGCTCAGTCGTTAAGCGTCTGCCTTCAGCTCGGGTCATGATCCCAGGGTCCTGGGATCGAGCCCCGCATCGGGCTCTCTGCTCCTCAGGAAGCCTGCTTCTCCCTCTCCCACTCCCCCTGCTTGTGTTTCCTCTCTCGCTGTGTGTCTCTCTGTCAAGTAAATGAATAAAATCTTTGAAAACAAAACAAAACAAAACAAACAAACAAAAAACATACAGGGGACCCATTCCAGCCTTTTCTTCTAAACTTCTGTTTTGTAGGCAGAGACCAGGGTTTAGACCTTGGGCCTGCTATCTGCTAATGACTGACCATAGGTATATTTTTGACCTTTCTGGGCCTATTTGTCCCAGTTATTATCTTCCCTGAGAAAGCTAACAAAAATAAAGCACCTAATGAGTCGGCAACTGTTAACAGAGGTTAACAAATATTAATTTGCTTCCCCTTATATGGTAGTTGTTTAATATACCTGTCTTTTACTCCCTACTAGATTATATATTCCCCTGGAAAATACTGAGTCTCCTATTCCCTTCATATCTTCCACACTGCCTAGCTGAGTGCTTTGCATGCAACACATGTTTTGAATTGAGAAGTTCCTGAAATCCTGGCACCAGCTGCCTGGAAATGTCAAAATTTTCATTCTTCAACTCCCTAGCTTTAAACTTTCATCATATACATATTAACTGCCTACTTAACCTTTCTAGCCCTTTTCTGCATTTGAAAAATGAAGACACTACTATTACCACACACACACACCACATGTGTGCACATATGTGCAAACAAAGGCTTTCTACATGAGATCATTGTTCTAAGATCAACTGAGATAAGAATGTATATGGAAGAACTGTGTAAGCTGTAAGATATTACATAAATTATTTTGCTCTGCTCTGATCTGATTGTCAGATAGCCTCAAACATACAGAGCTCTATGTAATAGACTTCGTTCCTGTGAGGTTATCTTCCACTGAGCTCATTTCCTACAACACACTGAAGAACAATCAATCCGTTCTACAGAACAACACTGCTGTCTGCCTCATTTTTTAGAGGTTTAATTTATTAACAGGTTTTCAAACAGAAGAGCCTGAATCCAACGGAAGAATACAAAATAGGTGAAATCAAATAGCTTGGGAGGAATGTGAAATGATTTCTTAAGCAGAGCAGTTTCCCTTTGCTTTAAATCCCTCCAGGGTTCCATCAAGAACTTGGATTAAACAACTGTTTCTCCTTCCTCCCTCTCTCCACCTTCCCTTCCTTCCTTGCTTTTGTTTAGAGGAAGGTATAAACAAAGCAGAAATGTAATCAGGTTTCACTTGACCCTTGACAGTGAGATCCTAGACTTCTTTTTTTTTTAAAGATTTTTATTTATTTATTTATTTGAAAAAGAGAAAGAGAGACAGCGTGGGCCAGAGAGAGTGACAGCAGGAGGAGTGGGAGAGGCAGAGGGAGAAGCAGGCTCCCTGCTCAGCGGGGCTGGATCCCAGAACCCTGGATCATGACCTGAGCCAAAGGCAGCTGCTTAACCAGATGAGCTACCTAGTCGCTCCAAGATCCTAAACTTTTTATCTGAATTCGTATTAAAAATCTCATGACCATGGGGGCACCTGGGTGGCTCAGTCAGTTAAGCGTCCAACTCAATTTCGGCTCAGATCATGATCTCAGGGTTGTGAGATCCAGCCCTTCAGGCTCTGTGCTTAGTGGGGAGTCTGCTTGTCTCTCTTCTCCCCTTGCCCCCCACTGCCTCTCGGGCCCCTGCTCATGCACACGTACAACTCTTTCTCTAAAATAAACAAATTAAAAAAAATTTCAGGACTACAAATCTTGTCATATGCAAATGAATTTACTAATACAAAATAACAATGATAAGCTAATATAGATGTTTGCTGCCTCCCTTTTTTGGAGAAGTGACACTTTCACACACTGGAAAGTTGAAGGAAGGGTTGTAAATGGAAGAGGATACCCTAAAAAACTGATTTTATAAATATTACACATACACTAATATTAATCTTCCAAAGTGAAAACAATCTGGCAGAGAAGATGCTTTTTACTTTCACCATAAATTAAACATTAATGAATACTTTTAGAATTTAGCAACCAGAAAGCTCAGAAAACTTACTCTGGAAAAATGATTATTTTTTTTAAACTTTCAAGAGAAAACAAAACAAAAAAATTCTGTAACATTTTTATTCAGTTACCATTATTCTATTTAACATGTCATTATTTTGTCTGAGATAGACCAAACCACAGCTTAAAACTATATTTTTTCCTCTCTTTATGAAAAAAATCCTAAGAAATAAGAATATTTACTGTAAAATTATTCTAGTACAAAATAAAGAGACTGTTGTAAAATCTTGTTCATGGATTTAGTGTTGCTTTTCTCATCAGGACAATGGCACCAACAAGTTTTCCCTCCCCTCAAACAAATAAAAACCTTTCATATTCTGGCTTTCTTAAAATGCTTTAAAATCTAACGTCTCATATCACTTGTAGAAAAGTCAGTGCTAGTCTCAAAGAATCAAAGCATTCTTTCCTGAGGGCTGGAATAGGCAAACTGACATCTACAGCTGGAGATTCTACATAAGGCTCTGGGTAATCAATAAAACAAGTAGGCAGAAAATCAGTAAGGATATAAATCACCTGAACAGCACCAACAACTAACGTGACCTACTTGACATTTTTAGGATACTGATCCCAAGAGAAAACATACTGTTTTCAAGTGCATATGAAATATTACCAAGATAAGCCATTCTGGACCATAACAGAAATAAAAATCATAAAAAGGCTGCTCATGGATCATAAAGGAAACAATAATGAAAACATACCTAGAAGACCCTTCAACTGTTCAGAAATTAAACAATATACTTCTAACTAAACCATAGGTCAAAGATGAAGTTTCAAGGGAAATTTAGAACATTGTGAACTCAAAGCAAATGAGAATACAACCCATCAAATTTAAGGGCACAGCTAAAGGAGTGCTTACATAAGGCAACTTTGTAACACTAAATGCTTGTTAGAAAATAAGAAAGCTCTAAAATCAGTAACTGAAGCTTCCACATTAAGAAACGAGAAAAAGAGCAAAGTGGACATAAAGGCAAGAAACAAGAAATAATACACATTAGAGCAAATGCCAATGAAAGTGAGAACAGAAAAGCAACACAGAAACATCCATTAATCCAAAATATGCTCTCAGGTTGGAACTGTCTTACGTAGACATTAGCAAATTGGACGGAAATGAAAAAGGGGAAATAGTAGGAGCAGGAGAACTGGGTAGAAGTCCCAACTGTGCCATATAACAGTGGTATAGCTCTACTCAGTTCACTTCATTCTTTCTGACCTACAGTTTCCTCATTTGTAAAAAGGGGGTAAAAATAATCTTTCACGAGTACTATATATGGAGATTAAATGAAATAGTCATAAAAATTACCAGGAAAAAATAAAAATATTGTTTGTTCTGTTTAGTAAGATTAACAAACTGTTACTAACACATAAATGGCACATTAAGTTCAACATACCTTTAAGGACCTTGAAGGTGTGCTATCACAAGCAAAGCAAAATTCATAAATTACCATAAAAATATTTTTTTGGTGGCAATAACGGAGCTCAACTGGAGAAAAATCATCATATACTAATAGTAACTGCTTGTTGATAAGTTTTTTCTTCAAGGACAAAGGTGACAAGAGAAAGTAAGTCAACCATATAAAAAGGAACTTTTCTTAAAAGAAAGACAATCCACTGCAGATATACCTTTTTGCAGATTTTTTCAAAGTTGATATCATCACTGAGAGCAGATTTAGTTACTATATCAGGTTTCAATTCCTGTAAAAAAAAAAAAAGGAATTTTAGTTATGAATCTAATTTTATTTACTTATTTTATTTTTGTGGGGGAGGGGCAGAGAGAGATGCAGGAGAGAATCTTAAGCAGGTTTCATGCCCAGCACAGACCTAAGTGGGGCTCTTTCTCACAACCCTGAGGATCATGACCTCAGCCGAAATCAAGAGTAGGATGCTTAACCAACTGAGCCACCAAGGCGCCCAGTTATGAATCTAATTTTAGTGCACCATTCGTTATTATGAGGTACATTCCTTCCCATGTTTGTCTTTTAAGAAATCTGGTATTAAATAAGTTCTTAATTTTTGGATGAGAATAACTCCTGTCACAGTATGAACTTACAATACTATGAAAAATCACAGCAAAATGAATTTAAGAGCTAATCCTCTTAAGACAGTTATACTCAGATTCCATGGAAGCCAGAAAATTTAATGTGCCATTAAATTTCCAGCTTAATAACAGTTCTTTAATTGAAATAAGATTAATATAACTCAAAATATTAATTTAAGACTTCTAAATTTCAAAGAAATTATTACTTATTTTAATTACATTTCAGGGCATTAGCAATTACATCATTTCACAGAGAAATGTAAAGATTTATAGAGAAATACTTAATTTTAATTAATGATTAAAAAATCTAAGCTACAAAATACTTTTATATTATACAAGGAATTAATCCAAATTTACTTTAGAAAATTAAAAACCAGAAAAGCAGAGAAAAAAATAAGTAAAATTACTAACAATGTATACACGGTTATAATTTTATCATACACCCTCCTATATGTTTAAGAGAACTGAGTTTGATACACATTTCACTAAAGAATGAGGACTTTAGATCATACAAAAATGAAATTTCTCTTAACTTATCAAGTTATTCTACTGTGCATGAAAAAATACAATGAACATTTGTGTATTTTTTTCATAATACTATTTGGAAGAAAGCTAAATAAAATCAGATAGTTGGTTTTAAAACAACACTGAGTGATAGTAAGTTAGATAAATGTATGACACGGCAAAAACTGTACAGGAATTATTCCATGAAAATTATTTAAATTATATGTATTTTTAAGATTTATTTATTTTAGGGAGAGAGAGAGAGAGAGTCTGAAGCAGACTCCACACTGAGCATGGAGCATGGGGCTCGATCTAACAACACTGAGATTACGACCTGAGCCAAAACCAAGAGTTGGAGACTTATCCGAACATGTCACCAAGGTGCCCCTAAAATATATTTTAAACAAAAATAGGTCCAGGGCACCTGGGTGGCTCGGTTGGTTGAGCACCAACTCTTGGTTTCGGCTCAGTCCATGATCTGGGGACATGAGATTGAGCCCTGCCTGGGGCTCCCCACTCAGTGGGGAGTCTGCTCTCTTTCTCCCTTGTCCCTCCCCCCGCTCACACACGTGCACCCACGCGCATGCTCTCTCTCTCTCCCTCTCAAATAAATAAAACCTAAACACACACACACACACACAAACCAGGACCATAGCATTTTGTAAACTAGCTTTATCATTTAATGACAAAGCAAATATCTATCCATTTTCTTTTCATTCTCTTACATCACTGTCCTTATTTATTTAGCCAACCTTTTATTATCAGACATTAGTATGTTTTCTGATTTTTTAAATCTTTTTATAAATAAGAATGGAGTAATTATCCTTGTACATACTGATTTGTGTAACTCCTGAAAAATTACCAAAGATTCTGTATTAAAAAACCATACTATGCTTTTGGAAAATGAGCAGAATGGAAAAAAAAGAAATACTGATAATGGTCTAATGTCAGAAAGATCAAAAAGCACAGTTTCTGAAAATACTCAATTTTATTTTGTATACACGGATGCAATTAGGAAAAAATGTGTATGTAAAACAAATCTATGTAAGGAGAATAAAAATAATAGATTCTTTCTTTTAAGTCTGTGTGTGTGTGTGTGTATAATGTCTTTAGGAACTGATGAGCTAATTTGAAAGATGGGCTCCCTGTCAGTTTAAAGTCAGTAAAACTATTTAAATTATAATTTAAAAAATCCAAATTTTTTTGTCGGCTGGCTATAGGTATCTTTTTCTACTCTGTAAATAAAAAAATCATTCTAAAGAGTAAATCAGTTAAATGTTATTGCAAATATGAACATAATACGTGCAGAAGATAATGCTGCTTAAATCTCAACCAATCCACATACTCCCTCCAAAAGAATAAATTCAACAAGGACTACATGAACCATGCCTTCATCGTTATTAGGAGGTAGAGGATACAATAAACTTCAAAATATCTCCAAGTTGAGAAACTAACACCAAATTCAACATAGCACTCAATGCATTACAAGCTTGCACATACAGAGAGCCAGGGAGTAGAAGATTAAGATACTGGGGAAGTTGATACTAGAAAAAAAAGATATCCAGATTGGATCAAAAAGCAAAACCTAAGTCTACGCTAAATATATGAGATACACAAAAAAACACAATGATTCAAAAAGGCTAAAAACAAAGGAATTCACCAAGATATACGAGGCAAATAGGAACAATTAGGAAGCAGGAGTTGAGATCATGTATCAGATGAAGAATAATTCAAGTAAAGAAAAAAAATGAAATGAGACACAGCAGAAACTACAAGATACGGAAAAATAGAAACACACTACTAATAGAAGACTTTCACACAACCCTCAGTTCAAGAAAGTTGAGAATAGGGGGAAAAGCACTAGAAAATCTTAACATAATTAATAAGGTGTATCTGTCATGGATTTATTTTGAACATTATATTCTAGTAATACAAATTATACCTTCTTCTCAAGCACACATGAACGTTAAAAAATTGATCACATATTAAGTCAAAGTAGGTATTAGTAAGTTCCATCAAGTAAAATACTAAAAACAACATTCCCTGATCACAATGAAAAAGTAGGAATTAAAGAAAACCAATGGAAAAAAAGGCTCTTCTACCAGGAATTTAAAACAACAACAACAACAACAAAAATCTCAAATAACTCTTGGGAAAGGAAAAATATAAACAGCAATTTCAGGGTTTCTGAAAATTAATAAGGCAACACTGCATTTCACAATCTATAGGACACATTTAAAGAGGTTTTTATTTTATTTTATTTATTTATTTTTTAAGATTTTATTTATTTATTTGACAGAGAGAGACATAGCGAGAGCAGGAACACAAGCAGGGAGAGTGGGAGAGGGAGAAGCAGGCTTCCCGCCGAGCAGGGAGCCCGATGTGGGACTCGATCCCAGGACCCTGGGATCATGACCTGAGCCGAAGGCAGACGCTTAACGACTGAGCCACCCAGGCGCCCAAGAGGTTTTTATTTTTAAAACAACGATATAAATAAAAATAAGGTAACAGAAATAAATGAACAAATGCTCAACTAAAAGGAACCTAAATTATCTTTATTCAATTCTTCACTTATCAAATGGAAAGGAAGACTCAATTAAATCATGTGATTTTTCCAAGGTCCTATTGTTAGTTGGTGGTAAGACTGACCTTAATTACTGCTTCCACTAGATCATAATCTATTTTATTGCCACTTTGATATAATCCAAAAGAGCTCCACCATCTTTAAAGTATTCATGTAAAAACTAACACAAAAGTTAAACTCTACCTCATGGTTCCAATGTCATGTGACCAATGAACACAGAATCTTCTAGTTATAAGAACCTTCTAGTTTTAAATGAGGCTGATTTATAGAAGTTTAAAGTATTTACTGTACCTTTCAACAGTAACACACCTTTCAACACACACAAAAAATAGATACGTTTTTGAATAAATGTGAGGCACTAAGCAACCCCAGTACCTAATTCTGGCAACTTACGTGGTCTTTCAGAAATACTATTGGGAAAATGTTATGAAGGTTCAAAATAAACAGAATACGCTTAACAGGGAAACTGAAGTTGATCTGAATTGAATGAGGTTGAGAATATTTAAAGAAACATGAATGCCACTAAAAAAGGCTGGGCATTTCTTGGGTAAATTATAAGCAAGAGCCACTGTCAAAATCCGTGAAGGATCTGAGATTTTACCCTACTTGAAAGTTAGTAAGTAAGCCTGACATGGTATTGTGGATGCCAGCAGAAGACACAAAACTCTTGCGCCAGAGATAAAGAACGGTTTATTACTCAGCAACAGCAAGAGCCAGAGTACCTGCTCTTTATCTCATCCGTTGTTTCTGAAAAAACTCAAAAGCCCCTGACACACCGTAGACAATGAACTTAAATTAAATCCACACAATCAAAACTAAAGGAGCCTTTAAGAAATATAATACTTCTGAAAAATGGCCACTAAGTAGAGAATATATTCTTAGACTGAAGAAGGGAAAAGCATCTGTTTACATTCGTACCTTTGGGAGTATGACCAGCAAACACAAATTAGGGTTATGATAACCTCTACTTTTACAACATAAGTAACTATTATTTGCACACTCTGTACTAGGTTGAACGGCTTCCCAAGTATGTCCATGTCCCAATTCCCAGAGCCTGTGAGTATGTTACCTTACAGGGCCAAAGAAATCTTGCAGATTTACTTAAAGATTTTAAGCTGTGGGTACTATCCTGGATTATCCAGATGGGCCTAAAGTAACTAAAAGTTCTGAGAGCAGCAGAGAATAGGAGTGAGATAGAGATTGGGTTGGAGGTGGGGGAGGGAGAAAGGAAATGAGCAAGAGAAGGAGACTGAAACCTGAAGATGCTATGCTGGTGGACTTGAAGATAGAAGAAGGGGCCATGAATGGAGAAATGCAAGTGGCTTCTAAAAGCTGAGGGTGACAGGAGACTGACTTCTCTAGAGTCTCCAGAAGGTATACAGCCCTGCTAACACCCTGATTTTAAGACTTCTGACTGCTAGAACTCTAAGATAATATATCCTTGTTTTAAGCCATTAAATTTATGATAGTTTGTTACAGAAGCACTAGGAAGCTAACATAGTTTCTATCTCCTACCAATCTTCGTATTATTCATTACACTGTATTATTTGGACATGCACTCTGTGCCAT